TTATGAACAAGGAGTGATCAGATTCACATTGTTTGAACTCAAGTTTGAGTAGTGCCTGAGATAGTTTAGTTCAATGTTAGCCAGGTTAGTCAACATTTATCTTTATCGACGCAACAACAAGATCTTATTTGTAACAAGTGGTTTTGTTGGTTGGTTAATTGGTCACATTTTATTCATGAAATGGCTTGGATTAGTATTAGTCTGGATACGACATTCCATTGTCTTGGGGCTTTCTTTAGTCCATAAAGGGATTTAGTGAGTCTACACACTTTATTCTTTCCCTGACTATTAAATCCCTGAGGAAGATCTATATAAATCTCATCAGGTAGGTACTCTTGTAGAAAAGCATTGAATACATCCATTTGATGAATATGCCATTGCCTTTGAGCTGCAATAGCTAGTATTGTTCTGACATTCTTCATCATCACCACTGGACTGAATATGTCATTATAATAAATTCCTTCCTTTTGACTGTAACCTTTTGCTACTAGTCTTTCCTTATACCCCTCTATTTCACCTGTGCTCTTATATTTGATCATATAGATCCATTTGCAACCTATAAACACCTTTCCTTTTGGAAAAGTAACTACCTCCCATGTATGATTATTTTGAATTGCATCAATCTCAAATTGCATTGCCTCTACCCACTTAGGATCAGAAACAATTTCTTTGAAGCTAGCAGGTTCAGTATTTGCAGAAAACTTAGACAGATATGATTGATACGAATGATTTACCTGATCATGTGATAGGTATTTGTCTAAAGAATATGAGGCATGTGTAGCATCAAGAGATATAAAGTCTTTCATCCACAGTGGTGGCTTCTTTCCCCACGTAGATCTTCTATTTTCTTCTTGTACCAGCAGTGGACATGGTTCAGGAACCTGATTTATATTATGTGAAGGATTATTTGTTTCTGCAGGGACCTCCTCAGCTGAACCTGTTCCTTGATCCTGGTCAGTAATAATCAATTGATGTGATGATTGTCCATCATTTAAACCAGTGAATCTGAACAGAGGTGTATGTTTTTTTTTGTAATTTGAATTGAAATATATCTTCCTTGAATATTACATCTCTGTGTACAAAGGAAACATGAGAAGTTAGATTATATAGCAAGTAACTTTTTTGAGTAATTTCATAGCCTAAATGAACAGCTATTCTGGACCTACTTTTTTGTTTATCAGGTTCTTGTATATTTTTATCAAAGCACAAGCAGCCTAACACTCTAAGATGTAACAATGTAGGTTGCTTTCTAAATAATTTTGCAAATGGGGTGTTATTATTAATAACAGAACTAGGAAGTCTATTTATAATATACACAGCAGCTTGAACACATAAACCTCAAAATTTAATAGGTATGTTCCCTTGAAATCTAATAGCTCTTGTAAGTTCAAAAATGTGTCTATGCTTCCTCTCAATAATAACATTTTGTTGTGGAGTATAGGCACATGTTGTTTGATGTACAATGCCTAAAGAACTAAATATGTTTGAGCACCTACTATTCAAAAATTGTGCACCATTGTCTGACCTTATGCACTTAATAGTTTTATAAAATTATTTTTTAACATGTACTAGAAACTGTTGAATGATAGTACTAACATCATATTTTAGTTTCAACAAAAATATCCATGTTTATCTAGACATGTCATCTACAACAATAAGGAAATATTTATTCCCATCATGAGTGGAGGTCTTATAAGGACCCCATAGATCCATGTGAACTAATTCAAAGCATCCAGAACTTTTAGAAGTACTAAGTGTGAAAGGTATCCTTGTTTGCTTAGAATAAGGGCAAATAGTACATTTATTAATTGTTTCAGTTATACTACTTAAATCTGAAGACAACATTCTCTTTAATACTGAACTAGATACATGCCCGAATCGTTTACGCCACAAATCTATATTTAGTTTAGAATCTATTTTCAGTAAAGGAACAGAACAACTAGCTGCAATATGCACATCTTTTGAACTTGTATTTACTTGCAATATATAAAGTCCTCCATCTTCTTTACCAATCATCTTCACCCTCCCATGTGAGAGATCCCGATATATACAAAAGTTAGGGAAAAAAGTAGCAGAATAATGCAATTTCTTAGGACCCGTTTGGCCATAGATTTCCCAAATAATATTTGGGGAAAATTTTGGCAAATAATGTTTGTCCATACAATTTGTCATTATTTGGCAAATATCTCAAATTCTCAAATACTAGTTTTTTCTAGTATTTGGGTCAAATCTCATTATTTGGGATCTTTTGAAAATTAAAATTTTACCCCAAACTTTTATCTTTTACAAAAAAAACCCTCTATAGTAGTTGTTTGTGTTATGTTGCATAATTTTTTTACGTGAACATCAAAATAGTGATGAAATATTTAGTGAATATTAAATAATATATGATTGTTGATGAAAATGATGAAAAATTAACTCAAGGTAATAAAATCATGTGCTTCGTCTACTTCACGATGTATGGAATGATACTTGTTGCACTCGCTCCAAATTACCACATTGCTCTAATGTGATGGAAACTATTTGTTATTGTTGTAACGAACATCCAATTAACTTGTAATACAAACTTATAGTTAGTTTTAATAGTTTTTAAAACTTATGGGTATAAATCATATTTTTCTAAAAAGGTGAAATATATTTCCCAAATCCTATGGTCAAACACATGGTGAAATTTCACCCAAATTTTCACTCAAATAATATTTGCCAAAAATATTTGAAAATTTATGGCCAAACGCTAGCTTAGAGAGTTTAGATACTGATAAAAGATTAAATCGGAATTGTGGTACTTGAAAAACTCCAGTAAATACATCATTATTAAGTAGAACACTTGAACCAATAAACTCAACTAAGGAAACATCACCATTTGGTAAATGCACTTTCGTTGGTTTATCAACTTTGCAAATAGTGAACTTGTTTAAAGAACTCATATTAGCCACCATGTGATTAGTGGCACCTATATCAAAAATCCAACAAGGAGTATAACCATTATTGACAGTAGAGTTGAAACAAGTACTCATACCTGCTTCATTACCTACTACATTAGCTTAATGAAATTGTTCTGGATCTTTGTTTAGAAACCGAATCAATTGTTGATATTGGCCCTTTGACAGATGACATGGTTCCAACTGATGGTTGTTTCTTTCATTTGAAGACTGCCCATGTTCATTTGCAGTAAGTTTAGCAGAGTGGCCTGTAGTTATATGCTTGTGATGAACCTGTTCGTGAGATACTGTACCTCCTTCCATCATTGCATTATATGCATTGTTAGGATCCTTCTTTGAACTTAAAATCTTGAGGATACCCTATTAACTTGTAGCACTTATCTCTAGTGTGATTTTTCAGTTTGTAATAGTCACAATACAGATTTCCATTCTTCTTGAACTTTTGAGTACCACTATTTCTTGAGTACATAGCTAACACATATGCTTGTTGTCTAGAACTAGGATTACACCCTAATATTTCAGCTGAAGCCACTAGTGATTTTTGACTCTCATCAGACATGATCATAGAATATGCTTGATATACTGAAGAAAGTGGACTCATTAACAAGATCTGAGACCTTGCTTGTAAGTATAAATTGTTTAAGCCCATGAGGAATTGAAATAACTTGAGTTCTTGCAAATGTACTACATACTCTTTGGATCTATCACACTCAAAGGAAGGGGTAGGCACCACAACCTCAAATTCTTCCCACAGACCTTTTAATTTTGAGAAGTAAATTGACATAGAACTTGTTCCTTGAGCTATAGTTTCGATTTCTTGATGTAAATTGAAGGTTCTTGACCCATCTAACTTTTTAAATCTTTCATACAGATCTTCCCATACATTTTTAGCACACGTTGCATACATAATGCTTCCAAGAAGACCTTTCTCTACAGAATTCATAATCCAAGATAGTACAACAACATTTATCCTCTCCCAGATACTTTCTAATCCTGAAAATTTGTCCTTTGGACATGATCCATCCACTAACTCCATTTTATTTCTTCCTAACAGGGCTACCTTCATTGATCTATACCACAATGAATAATTCTCGGACCCAACTAGCTGAAAAGAACTAATGTGGTTTTCACTTACATCAGAGGAGTGAAGAAAGAGAGGATGATTATAATCAATTGTTGATGTGGAATTTCCAACTCCATTTCCAGAATTTGATTCTGCATTTTGGCCAAGAACTGTTGCAACATTTGTACCATTCATCATTGTGATTCTTTGAACAATTACAACCAATCTTAACGGAAATGTGATTGATTTATTCAATTAGGAATACTAGTTGATATGGCTATGATACCATGTAGATTTGTATGTAAAGTGAAAAAGAAGAAGAAGAAGAAGAAGAGTAGAAAAAGAATATTTGTTATTCCAAAAAAAAATTATTGAGTTACATTGTAAAGTTCCTATTTATAGTAGTTGTGATATCTTGATCACACTTGGTTATTCTAACTGACTTACAATTAATTGTAACCAACTTAACTAATTAATGGAAGTAAGTTAGTTACATTATAACAATGATGTAGGGAAAATGTACAAGGACCAGGTTCACACATTTTGTTCTTCTTTGTTGTTCTCATTCTCAACATATTGTCAGCATAGTGTGTGACTTTCATTCTTCCATTCAAAACACACATTAGATAAGACGTTTTAAATCGACCATAGCTTATTTTGTTCGATATAACTAGAAGCAGAACTTGAACAATTGTCACACCCATAACTAGAATGTTCTTCTTACGAAGCAACCTCTTTTGATTTCAAATTTCTAACATAGCTTCTTAAGTTTTTTTTTTTATCATCATAATGTTTTGTAATATTTTTGCTAATTCTTCATCGTAATGGATCATACCTTCTATTTCAATCCTTGTTAGAATTAATGATATGTGAAATAAAGAAAAGTTCATTGATGAACTGATATTGTACTGGATTAGACGTTATAGCTATAATAAGATTTTTAAAAAAATGATACCAATATGATATATGTTATGCTAAATAAAAGATCAAGAACATGAATTCAACAAATAATTAATTCAATCGCTGCAAAATTCACACTCTCGTTGTACCTCAACAAATTAAAAAAAGTAGCTAGCTAGGCAGAATAACGACCCAAAAATTGCCCAACTAATATTTATTGTCATATAAAGAATAAGATATCAAAAAAATCGAATTTCAAAAATCAAAGAGCTCCAATAATTATGTTAACCCCATCTTTATTTGTTATTGGAGTAGAATGTCCTGGTTGAGATTGAACTTGAGAAGGTGGTTGTGAAGGTAATACACCAATAGTTGGTCGTGCCACAAAAGGTGCAAATGGAAGGGGGCCTTGTGAAGAATTTTTAAGATGAACACGACTCTCATTATGGAAATTCACTATCGGAATCCATGAGATTGTTGGTCCTACTTTGGATGATGAAACACCTTGGATATTCTGAGGAACTCCAACCTATATATAAATAAGTGACATATTAGATCAGTGACGTATTCAAAATTTACTTCGTAAAAAAATGATATGTTACTACGTAAGGCATGTGGGCTAAGTTAGGGACTCCAAAAGGTCTACTAATTGGTGACGGTGAAAGTGGGGGCCTTTCTCGAGTTGCACTAGGAATGCCTTTGCTAGCCTGCAAATAGCATCGGTATAACTATGAATTTAACTTATGTACATACAAAAATATAGTGTATATAATTTAAATTCAATAATTAATGTGAAAAAATTTACATATATATATACACACTTACCTGTCCTTTAATTTGACATGTGTCAAATAGTTGCTTCAAAGGAAAACTTGTCTGTTAATATTTCAAATTAATAAGCTAATCATAGGTAATATTTGTTATTTAAGGTAATAAAAACTTACCTCCTTAGAGACTTCAGGAATATAAGATGAAGATTTGGAGGGAATATGTGAATTCTGCAAAAAAAATTTAAAAAATATCAAGATAGGAATAGGAAAGTAAGGGTGGCTCAAGGGGGCAACAATTTTCATAATGGATACTATTATAGTTTTATTTTGTTTAAAAAAATATTGGTATTTCTAAAAATAAGTACAAGATCTTTATTATTTATATAAATATAAAAGATAAAAGAAGAAAGTATATATTTTAAACATCGAAATATTTTAGAATTTTAAATTAAATTAATAAAATTTCATATTAATAAATAATTTTCTTATAATAAGATCTAAGGTAATATATTTATATTACTAATTTTACTAAACAGTAATGCAAAAAGAAAGAAAAAATTATTACCGGATTTTTTAAGTGCACATCAAACACACTCGGTCGACGTTTCTTCTTCTCAATTGATGCTATTCTAATGAAATATTTTTGAGAATGACTAGCTACTTGTGTTGGAGTTCTTGAAGGTACATAACGTTTGGAAATTCCTCTCCAATCGCCTTTACCAAGATTTTCTAATCCAATTAAGAAATAACGATGTTCCTCTTCAGTCCAAGAGGTTCCTAAATAAAATTATATTATTATTTATATAGAATACTAATTCATAAAAGTAGAATAATTAATTACAATATAACAAATATAACAACACGATACGATATTAACATATTTTTTTCTATGAAAAAATGAATTGCCAATTAGAATTTTACTTGCACATTAGTCGTAATAATAATAAAAATGGAATAATATTTAGTTAATTGTAGTATTTTCTTTTATGTGAGAATAAATATTATTTTAATATAATTATATATAATGTATCAAATATCACTCCATGATCCAACATCTCACTCATTGTATATTATATACATATATCACTCATTGTATATTATATACATATATCACTCATTGTATATTATATACATATATCACTCATTGTATATTATATACATATATCACTCATTGTATATTATATACATATATCACTCATTGTATATTATATACATATATCACTCATTGTATATTATATACATATATCACTCATTGTATTCACTTCAATGGGGGACATGTTCGCATATATCCTATATATATATATGCATATATCCTATATATATATGCATATATCCTATATATATATATATATACATATATGTTTTAACTAATTGAATATGTTATAGCATCATTGTATATACGAAATATGTTTTAACTAATTGAATATGTTATAACTATTCAATTTAATGATGGACGCAACATTTTCATTTAATTAAGGGTTGTCAATTGTAAGTTGCAGCAACAATAAATTAAATCTTTAACTTGCTTCAAGAGGTGTTTGACCCTAATATATATCAACTCAACAAAAAAAAAGTGTCTCTACGATATTTAACATGAGGCCCTAAGTTTATTGAGATACTATCAAAAATCGCAATTGTAAATTCTTTTTAAACAAGTAACGTAATTCAATTGCAAAGGTTAACTAACCCTTTTTTCTATGTCTGATAGAAATAATTGGCCCATCGGAAAGATATCCCGCCTCGACGCCGCCGTTGTGATCATAATTGGCGGCGGCGGCAGCGGCATGTTCTAGATTTCCCAAACTTTTGCTCCGCCTTATAGATTCATAGTCTCCCATCTTCATCTTTGTATCAACAAACCTATGCTGATTTGTATTATTACTATCGTCGATTCGAACTCCAAACAATTTAATTCCTTTCGAATTACATGTTCTTGAATTATGTCCATTATGTCCACAATGTGAACACTTCCTTGCATCTTTTGCCATACTCACATTTTTTTCTTATGTTTTCTTTTTCATTTACAAAAAAAATAGTATAGTAGACGAAGTTTTCTCGAATTCTTGGCAATACAAGAGGATGTAAAACTAGAGAAAGTGCATATTTATAGGTTACACCAATGATTTATTTGCCGTGTAAGTTATTAACTTTGACTTTTCACAAAAAAAATAATTAATTAAAAATATTTTGTACCCTTACCTTTTTTATTTTATTTTCTTTACATACATAGTACTCTATTTAGCATAAATAGATTTTTAGTTCTTTTATTATTTAAACTTCTTTAGGAGTTTCATAATTATCATTCTATTAGATATATACATGTAACCAAATCCTATAGGATACTGCTTAAGTAAAACTCCTTATTTATCATAGTTAGTTAAAAAAAATTGCAGACTTTTTGTTTTAGTCCGTAATCCAAGTTTTGTAATCTAGTTTAAAAGAATTTGAGTATTGGTTTAAGATATATTTGGAAAAAATATTAATAATTGTGTTAACACAATCAAAAAGAAACATGCATGTAAGGAAAATTTGTAATTTAGGTTGGGGAAATAAAAGGGAAAAAAATCTATGATAAATATATTTATATGGATAATCGTGGACTTTGTTGAAATAAAGAATTATTAAGACATTTTTAAGTGTTACTTGCGTATGAAGAAAGAAATTGCTACTTGCCTTATATTTTTAAAATTTTCTTGATGGCAAATTAGTAGATTTTCGATTTTTTTTACCATGTTTGCAATAACTAAGGTTAAGATTATTCCTTAATAAATTGGGGTCAATGGATACAAAATTGGAAGGCATAGCGTCATCCATAAGAATATCATCCTATGTTAGGTAATTATTATGATGGAAAATAGATAACCTAAATAAATTCAGACTAATAATTACAAAAATTTGTTTGTTTGTCATTGTATAATTATAAATTTGTCATGTGATTTATAGCGTGTTGTTTAATGCCACAAGAGTAGTTATATTTATAGATATAAATTTGAAAAACACACACAATTTTTTCCCCAAAATTTAAATCAAGAACGTCTAATAAAAATAATTTTTTTAATAAAATCAAGTCATAGTTCAAATGTCTAAAAGAAATTTACTAATAAAGTGGAGGGATCGTCAATGTATTATAAAAATTTAATTTTTAAAAGATAAATACATTTTGTTAGAAAAATAAATACATGCGTCTTTAAATAAATTATAATTAATAAAATTCTAATAATAAATTTAAGTCTTTTGCCAACTCGTGAGGATATAACGTGAAATTCATGATTTTTCTTCACTTTTAAGTGGAAAAAAAAGGATAGACATGAGTTTTAAGTTTTCTTTTTACGGGTTTAAAATATCTTTGAAGTATCGAAAATGGTAAAAAAAACTATCCTCCATCAACCTATTGGCTCCAAAATGCCCTTTTCACCCGCCTATTGGCTTCAAAATACTATTGTCATCCACATTTGAGTTAAAAATTGATTATATATTTAACGGTTTCAAATTTAAACTATGTAAATATTTTTCTAAAATAATTAGCGCTCAACTATTGGATATAATTTAATTTAGGGCAACTTTCACATATAGCAAATAAAATATTCATATTTGTATGCTATAGCAAAGTTTGCATAATTGCGCTCCATAGCAAACATAGAAACTATATAATTCGCTATACATATACAGTTGAAGCAAATTGTATAAAACGAAGTGTATAAAACAAGAAAGAGAAAAACACTTGGGCAGAGAACTGTATAAAAACGAAGTGTATAAAATAAATTGTATTATTATAAGTGTGTAGAACGATTATATACAATTTGAATTTGTATAAAATGAGAAAGAGAGAAAGACAAAAGAGACTTGACAAGGAATGTACAATTGAATCGAATTGTATAAAACGAGAAAGAGAGAAATTAGATACAATTTTAAAATTCTATAAAACGAGAAAGAGAAAGATAAAAGAAACTGGGCAGGGGAGCATTTTTATTGTATAATTATAAGTGTATAGGACGAAAATATATGTACTTGCATGTGTATATACAATTTTCTCACGCTTTACACAAATAAAAAACAATTTATATATTTTGCTTCTGTTTGTATAAGTGAGAAAGGCGAGGGTGGCGAGCGAGATTTGGGAGAGTGGCTAGCGAGATCTGAAAGAGGGGAGAGAGGGAACAAAAATATATGTATTTATACAATTTTCTCTGCTTTATACAATTTATACTCTTGTGTTTGTATAAAAAGTGAGGAAGCGAGCGAGAGATTGGAGGAGAGTGGCGAGCGAAATATTTGGGAGAGAGACGCCTGACATTTTTTTGCAAACGTTTGCTATGGAGCACAATTAAATCAAACTCTAGTTACTTCATTTATTTTAGGTTATTAGTTTGCTATTATATACAGTTTCCCCTTTAATTTATTAATATCATTTATTAACCAACTCAATACCCACACATTACTAATTGAACCTCACCCAATTAATAAAGTGTAAATTTTGTATATAGCATTTTATATAGTAATATTATCAAGTTATGGCATTAGAGTTTCAATTTCATTATGTAGCATTTAATATCTCACTCTATAGCATTTTATTAATAATCATATTGTTAATTATAATTTATTAAAAAGAGTTGTTATTAACAATTGATTACAAATTAAGGGGATAAAGTAATAACGGATAATTAATAATTAATATTAATAATTAACACACTAACAACACAAATTATGAAACTTTTGTTTCTTTATTAATTGCTACATTTAATGCAAGTAGCACGTTTTTTAATATGAATAGTTGCACTTTTTAGGGAGTTTAATTAAAGTTAAATATATGATTAGCACGTTTTTAGGGATATTAAACATTTTCAAATTATCATCATTGCCTTAAATATCTCTAGTTAGTTAAAATAATATTATTTTGTTGAATTAATTCCTTAAAAAACTCTACCAGATAATAACAAATATTTTTGGATTTTCAGAATACTTTTCACATTGTCGTTTTCAAACATATTTGGATCAACGTTACAAGTAGTCTTCTTTCAAAAATTTCACGATTATTTTCAGATTGCTTTCAACGTATAAGTCATTTTTTCTAAAAATTCAAGAATATTTTCATAGCTGCATATTTCACATCCTTTTTTTTAGTAACCTGATAAATTTTGGCGTACAATATATATTTCTATTTAAATTATAATATATGTTTTATATTAATTTTGTATTGAAAATGTATTGTGTTTGTTTAATCGGGGTATTGTATAGGACAATAAATGATATATTAACTATGCATGAAATGTGTATTAATTATATGAACTGATTGTGTAACGTTGAAGTCTGAATTTTTTTTAATAGTCTATGAAGATTATAAGAAACGTGTATCATTTGTGTATGAAAGTCTATTTATTTTTTTCAAAATTACAGTATATGTTTCGAATGAAATCAGAATATATGTTTTGCATTAATTTTGTACAGCGGGTAGGCCAAAACTTGAAAGATGGAAGGGGTTTGCTGACGTGAAATTCAAAAGGACAAAAATGACTTGCAGTAGATGCCGTCAAGTTGGACACAATAGAAAGACATGTTCAAATTATCATGTGCAAAAACAATGATTTTGTAATGTTACATTTGTTAGAAACACGTTTTGTTTTATTGAGTGCAGTTGTTATCATTGACATTTATAAAGTTTGGTTTCGTAAAAAATTGTCATATATATATCATTTGTTTCTGTTACATTTGTCAAAGTTCAATATGACATTTTTAATTCATACAATGCTTATACATTATAAATATACATTGAACTATACTGTCATTCATAAAATGTTCATATACTACTCATACAATGTTCATACAGTATTCATACAATGTTCATATTTAATATGACAGAGAAATTAGGCGTGTTGTCTTTAATTAATTAATAGAGAGAGAAACGTGTGCTGCCTTTAATTGATTAATAGAGAGAGAAACATGAAAAAAGGCGTGCAAACTTAATACGGTAGAAAGAGAAACGTGTAAATAGGGGAGATGTTGAATGTATTGGGGGAAGATAAAAGAGTATTTGTTGATATGAGGGTGGGTAGTTATTGGGTAACCATACAATATGAAATTACTTAAAATCTAATCCCTAATTTTTAGATTTTGTTTTTTAAAAGGTAACTATATAATATGAAGTTTAATTAATATTTAATAAATAATAATTTATTATTTATATTAAAAACATTAAAAGGTAATTGATTAATATTTAATAATTTATTATTTATATTAAAAACTTTAAAAGGTAATTGATTAATCAGTAATAACTTAAAAGGTTTTGTTGATAAAAAAGTAAGTGACTAAATGAAATTAATTATTTAAACATAATAATTATTAGTTAAATAATAAAATAATTTTTTTTATTAATATATTATTAGTTAATATGTTATAACTTGATAATAATATGCTATAAATAGTTTATTTTAGATATTTTTTTAATTAATATATTATTAATTGATGTGCTATAAGATGATGATAATATGCTATAAGTAGTTTATTTTTAAAGAGTATGATTACAACTTGATATTTATCCTCTTAAATGTGTGTGAGATGTTAATTTTACATTAATAAACTAACTCTAATATCAAAATAGCCCTAAACACTATTAAAACACGACGAAATTACTGATTACTGAAAAATGACATCCAAAATTATTCAATCCGAATTGAAGCCCCAATTAAATTTAGGTTGAGTCACTTATTTAGAAGGACACTTTCAAAAAGATTCTCTTTCAAGCTTGAATTCGAATTTTATGATTAAAAGTAAAGAAGTAGTACATTTTGAATTAATTCATGCACTTTGTAAATATAATTTTATAAATATTTATTATTTGTTTTAAATATTAAAACTTTAATATATTCTTTTTAAAAAAGTTATCTATTAAATAACATCACATAATTGAGATGAATAAATAATTAAGATGAACATAGTCAGACTTTTAAGTTTATTGGTAATTTTGTTTTAGACACTTGAATTATAATATGTTTTGATTCCGGACTTGAATGTATGATAATATACTTCTACAAACATTTTCGCCTTAAATTTTTGGAAACACTCA